AAATGAATCCCCATCTAAATTTCAAATTCACCGTGTCTCCCAAATAAATACGGGGTGGTGGTATTGTCAGGTGGGCCAGCGAATTCTCTTATTCCCGTTTTCGAAATTCACCGAAAATAAAATCCATGAGAACCAAAATTGTTATATGGCAGTCATAAAGAGAAGTGCAATGGTCCATCCAAAATAGAACCCTCTCCTATACATACACATATTCTGAAAATGCACCCAGCAAATTAGAAACCCTAAAGATCCCAATTTTCTCATAACCGTCTTAACCAAAACAGCAGCCAATAAAAAGGAAGAAGAAACTCATCTATACAAACGTATCTACGTGTGCTGTTTTACCGCTGGGGACGTCGTCAGAGTGGTAGAGGGACTTGTGGATATCCATGGCGTAATCGACCATGTTGGTGTTGTTAAGAAGCTCTATTTTTGCCTTTAAAATATCCTCCTCTGCATACAGTCCCCTCTCCTGCAAGAACTCCAGTAGAGGAAACACCAGGTGCCTGTCCAACTGCGGCGCTATTCGCGGTGTCAAGTCGTACTTCGCCGCCATTGCTTATTTTCGTGCCGCCTAATCAATCACCGTTAGCGGTGGCGGGGGTAGAGAGCCTAGGGTTTTTGGACAAGATTGAATGGGTGGATCTGAGCGTGGATGGGGGAACTAGGGTTTGGTATTGCTTTATGTGATTTTGGAATAATCCCAACTATCAATATTTATACTCAAGTCCCTAAAAGTTTTCGCTATGAATATCCTGTCATTAATTTTTGGGAAAATTACGGCCACAATACCAAACCCTACACCTTTATGCAGACTTGGTCCAAACCTATCATTTGTACCACCATGAGTACCAAACCTTCAAACAATTTGCAATTCAAGTCCAAATGGATGAAAACCGTTAGTTGATTCCAAAAAATTATTTTGAGCAAATCAACAAAGGAAAAAATGGTAACTTCATAATTTTAACATAAGATAAGGAAAATAAAAAAAATGTAACACTATTCACCTTCTTTCCCCTCCCCTAAAAATACAACTCGCATATCCATACCATCTCGTTCTTCCCCCATCTCCATACAAGCCATCAATCGCCTTTTTTAAGGTTTAAGAGCCTAACTTCGAACAATCGTTGGGCCCTAAATTCCAACTTAATTTTCTCGACAAATTCTGGTAACGCGATTCACATCCTGTCCCTTTTCTTTAACTCCTTTAAAATTATTTGTCCCTTTTCTTAGCTCCTTTAAAATTATTTATCTTGTATAATATTACGCATTCAAGAACTTGTTAATGGGTTTCTGGAATTCTCTGTTAGTTAGTCGGAAAATCAACCATGCAGGTGATGTTAGGCAAAGTTGTAATTGGGCTATATGGAGATGGGGAAGAAGGAGATGGCTTGGATGGGTGTGTTGTATTTTCAGGGGAGGGGTGGGAGTGGATGAGATTTAGAAGAAGGTGAATAGTGTTATCTTTTTTTATTTTCCATTTTTTATGTTAAAATTATGAAGTTGCCATTTTGTCTTTTGTTGATTTGGTCAAAATAATTTTTTGGAATCAACTAATAGTCAAACTAGCCGTTTCCATTCATTTGGACCTGAGTTGCGAATTTTTTGAAGGTTTGGTACTGACTGTGATACAAATGAAATGTTTGAGCAAAATCTGCATAAAAGGTGAAAGGTTTTGTAACATGACTGCAATTTTCCCTTAATTTTTTGCCAAATGAAATATACAAATAATATTAATTAAACAGAGCAAACATGACTAACATATCTATCTTGTCTCTTCAAATATTGTTCAGATTATTACACATGCAAGTTAGAACTCATAGACGAAAATTTTGCTACCTTTAGGGCATCATAATTATCAACGTTGTTCACAAGTTCATTATTTATCATGTCACCAATGGTGTGTTTGAGCCACATTATTTTGGAATAGTAGATTGATGAAGAATGTGTGATTAAAAAAGAAGGAAAAATTATTGATGTGGTGAAAAATATTATTTTATTGAAGTATGTATGGTTGAAAATGAGTTCACTATATTTGAGCCACATTATTTTCGAAGAATGTATTTTGGAATAGTAGATTGATGAAGAATGTGTGGTTGAAAAAGAAGGAAAAATTATTGATGTGGTGAAAAATATTATTTTATTGAAGTATGTATGGTTGAAAATGAGTATAAAAATGAGAATAAAAATTTTAATGTGACTCAAATATGGGCTTAATATCAATTGTTGGACACTAAACAAGAGTCGATTGTCATATATAATTTTACGATTTTACCAAGATAATTCTTTTATAAATAATCGTCGATGTCTAATAATGGCGACCTGTTTTGTGAGGAGTCACGCTCTCTCAAGGTGCAAATAAAAAGGAACAAATGTGACCAGGGGTGGATCCACGTGGTATCGTGTGGGGTCAATTGGCCACACTTTTTTTTTTTAAAATTGCGGTGTAGTGCATTTGGAATTTGGAAGAGAGGGAAATAAGAAAAAAAATTTTGAATTATTGTAATAAAGTAGAAGTTGAAAATTATGATTGAAGGGTTGGATTATTCTGGTTATTTTTGATTAAATTCAGTCAAAAATGGTTTACAATTAAATGATACAAATATTTGAAATTTAGGAACATAGATGCCACTAAAAATAAAAATTACTTACAAAGGAGTTCTTGTGATTATGTTTTTTGTTGTGTTACTAATCTGTTTGATCCCAAATTGAGGAAATATGAGTTCCATAAATAATACATGATCATAATAATACAGAACGTTAAATTAAATTTGCGTGGAACTCGTAAACAAAGTTTTGTAAAATCTTATATATAGATATTTTACTTCATTCTGAAATTTTGTCTCATCGTTCCTCTTTAAAAAAACACTTATATGTAAGCTCTTGAGGGTAATGAAAGCCTTTTAGGGTTTCATCACTTTTTTTTCTCTTTTTTTTTTGTTTTTTTTTTTGTGTTAAAATCGAGTCTTTAAGAATTAGATTCTAATGATTTTTGTTGCAAAATGTTAGTGGATAAGCGAAATCTGGTAGATTACTTGCAATTATGGGACCATCTGAATGAGGGAAAATGTTTTGCCAGGTCAAATAGTGGCATCACCATAATTGCATTTGTCTAGCCTTTTGAACGTTAATGGACAACCATTCTCAAGCAAAGCTTACAAGTATGTGAAAACTACTATATCACGCGAGTTACAACCATCTTGAGACTTATCAAGATTGAATTCTCTTGTAAAATTTAATTTTCGAGGATTTTGGGGGTTTTGAGGGATAAATAAGCTATGTTGCAAGTTCGCTTATGTTAGGCAAGAAGCTATTTTATTTTCACATTTGACCGTTCGAGAAACAGTTTCTCCTGCAGTCAAACTCCAGCCGCAGGAAATATCTTCAATGGAAGAGAGAGACGAATATGTAAATTATCTCCTTTTAAAACTAGGTCATGTAAGATTGTCTTATTTTCTTCGAATTTCATTTGTGTGAGATGGTTTTGCATTCAAATCTAGAAATGCTAGACAATATATCAATATTATCTTCAGGTTTTCAATATATTGTTACTAAAAACAAGATTTCTGTTGATTTAATGACTATGATTATTGCCGTTATATACATTCTAATTTTTGATCCCACAATAAAATAAAAAAATATCTGAATCCGCCCGTGAATATGACTACCACTTTGACGTACTATTTATCGGGATCTAAACTTTTGATTTATAATAATCAATTAGTAAGAAAGAGTCATAGGTAACTCCGGCGCGTGTTGCACTACTTAGAAGACTACATCAATATGCAATTGTTAAAAGAGGGTACATATAAAGTAATTATAATATGTTTAGCACAAAATAGCTACCAAGAGAAGGGTTAAATATTGAAAAGTATACAAAATCCCATGTATCAATACCATACATAAACTCGGCTTGATATCTAAATCACAGATGAACTCACAAATTTATATTCTATTTATGAATTAACATCTATTTGTCAAAATTAACGAAATAATTTCCCGTGACAAATAGAGTTTTAACGTGGCAATTACATGATATACCAACGATACATAAACTTTATCTTCGTATCAAAAATATACATGAACTTTACGATATGTAACGGGACCATAAATAAATTCATTTTTGTATTAAAATCATATATCGACTCACAAATTTACATCTCATTCATACGTGAATTAATGTCTATCTATCATAACTGACAAAACAATTCACGTGACAAGCAAAGCACCTACATAAAAATTGCATGGCAACCTTTGTTGTACTCAAGAACGATGTTCATAACCAACTAAAGTCCAGATCTCAAGCTCGATTAATGTCTCGACCTCACCTCATGTAGATACAAATGTTAATGGCATTCTGAGGATTGGATAGCATTTTGCAATATGAAAAATAAGACTAAATTTTTTTTACATTATTTTGTCTAGTCTGGTCCAAACACTACCTACCTAACATAACTTGGGTTGATCTATTTCTTCTACGAAATGTTAGCGCAATTATCATTTACGCATTCCTCATATAAGATAACAAAATCCAATGCCTATCAGGAGTAAGGTTCAAGGTTTCAAGTCATAAACACAATTGTACAAGACAAATGCAGTCTGGTAATATAAGAACGTACATAACACACAACATGGTTATACAAATTCATCTCACTATAGAATTTAAATTGAGAAAATTGAAAATTGTAAAGAAATAAGCAAAATATTATCACGAATAACACGGCTAAATCTAGAACGTCAGCAAACAAAATGAAAAACTAACTTATTATCCAAGTAGTACATTTTATTGAACGGCAAAGGGAAGGGGTGGGGTGGACGGGGAATAAAAACAGTTGAATTACAGATATGCCCGTAAGTGTGGACTCGATTGCCCGTAGAGTAATAACACATAGTTGACAAACTCACAAACATTAAAGCATAAGTATTAACAAAGAACTCTCGAATTCAGACTACAACAAATCAAGAGCTAGGATTCAAACAAGGAAGATAGGTGCATTTCACTATGCTATGAGGAACGGCATAACAGTTAACATGAAGGATTCATAGGTGAAGGTCGCCGAACCAGAGTATGTTGTGTCCTTCTCCTTGAATTTTTCAGTCAGTCCCTGCAAGAGACACAATGCAATGTTGGAAAATGTATAGACTTCAAAATTTACTGGGACCAAAATGACGTAAACTGTCAAAGAATGCACAGCAAACATGAAAAAGGAAAAAGCAAAAGAGAACGGCATAATAGTGCACCTTAACAGTGAGGCAGCACCTGGTCATGGAAAAAGAAAAATTAGTAAAATTGGAAGATATATGTACACAATGTGGAATAGAAGAGAATACAGTGAAATCTAAATAGTCATCGTGAGAAACATACTCGATGAAATTGTCATACTCAATAGCCTTGTTTTTTCCACCGCTTTTATCAAACTTAGTCACCAGCAGATCCAAAACCACAGGTGATACTGAATATCCAAGGCTAAGGAGAGCCTCTCTCAATTCTTGCGCATCAATTTTGCCACTCCTATCCCTGTCAAATCTCTCAAAAATTGCCTATAAGGAGGACAAATTAATCAGATTTACACAGAAGAATGACGAATGTAATGGTGTGCTTGATAGAGTAGCACTCAACCATAACATGGAAGAACAAGAAGTTCAAATCTTGTTCATCTAACCACCTATTCCCGTCCAGAACTATTACCAAACATGCACTAAGGGTATCCACCATAGAACTAAAACTTAGTGTCTGTTTGATAGAATTTATTTGGAAATAATGAGTTATGGAATAATATTTTTTGGAGAATGTGTGGTTAAAAAGTAAGGAAATTTTATTGGTTTGAGTGTAGAATATTTTATTATGTAAATGTGTGGTGGAGAAATGATATTGTAGCAAACAGTTTAATTTTTTAAAGGATGACAAACAGGGCCTCAAGTCTAAAAGGAATTCCAACTTACCCTCCAATTCTGGAGACTGTGAAAAACTTGAGTGAATTCCTTGGGACCTGGTTTAAGATATAACAGAAATTAACAACACAACAATCTATACCTCACTCCATTAAAAAAATTATCACGAAGTGCGGTATACTAGAATCAAATTATAAATTTAAAATTACTTAAGCCCATAGATTTTCCTCTTGGACCATAATAGACACTTCATTAAGAAAATTAGGAAATAATGTCCTCATAGAGCACGTGTACAGAAAAAAACTAACAAATGAAAATGCAAAATAATACAATTGTGTTTGACCCCCATTATTTGAAATTATAATGGTTGGAATAGTGTTTTTTTGAAAAATGTTTTTTAAAAAAATAAATTTGGGATTACGTGTATATTATTTTATTGGAAAATGTGTGGTTGAAAAAAAAAAGAGAGAAAAATGAATTATAACTTTAATGGAGGCCAAACAGGGGCTATATTTCTATGATATCNAGTCCTGCATGCATATGGAACCGGAGAGAATGCTCAGTAGTCATTAGATTGCCACATGCATTCTTTAGTAGTGTATTGTCTCCAAAGCCCAATCACTTTAAGGGTCCGTTTGATTGCAAATGTGAAATTTGGGTGGAGATAAAATGAATTACAGGGAATTGAATTGCCTAGAATTTGTTTTACTGTGAATTGTAATTGTAATTAACTGTGTTTGATTGGTATAATTTTCCACTTGAAAAATGTTGAAAGTTTGGTGTTTGTTTGTCTTCGTTTTTAAATTATCTATTAAAGTGATAATTTTTTTTTTTTACCATTAGGTCTAGATTTTTGTTCCAATTGCCAAAAAAAAATAAAATTTACCATACCGAATACCATTCGTTTGGTTTTGTTTTTCATGGAAATTGTCAATTAAATGGATATAATTTGTTATAATTGGGAATAAAATTCATTCCAATTGCCCAAAAAAAAAAAAAAAAAGTAGCTTGTTTTCAAGGAAAACCAAGAATTAGGTGAAAAATAAGGTAAATGTGGAAAATGAATTCCATGGAAATTTTAGCGTACCAAATAGCTTAAAAGTGGAAAATGGAAAACGAATTCCAATTTCCCTAGAAAATTTTGTGCTATCAAACAGGCCTTAAATCAACACAAAATAATTAGTAATTTCTTGAATTTTAATGATAGAAATAATTTTAGGGCTTGTTTGGTAGGGATTTTTGTTAGAAGAATTGATTTTGAATAGTGATATGATGGGAAATGTGTGGTTGAAAAAGAAAAAAATTATTGATGCGATGAAAAATATTATTTTATTGAAAAATGTGTGGTTGAAAATGAGAATTGATTTGAGAATCAATTCTCAAATAAAAAACAAACACCCCCTTAGTCAATTGAAATGTCGAACATTCAGAACTGGGTCAATGCTTCTCATTACGAGATGAGGATTTACACGATGAGACGCCATAATATCATCTTTATTCACTTGAAAATCCCTTTCTATTTACATAAAAATTAATGCTTGCAAAGTAACAATAATTATTGTTCATTTTTTCTTACTTTTTTCTAAACCTCACTGAATAATTTTTGCGACTAAAGAGAATTGGCCCCCAATTTTTCAGAACTCATTTTCAACCATACATTTCATGGAACCCCCAATTTTGATCAACTTTTCAATCATACATTTCATCAACTATTATCAA